ATTGAGGGAGCGAAATTTTGCTTATGAAATTTTGGCTCTGAACTTCAATCGAGAGTTGAGAATTGCATGCAGGAACGATATTGAGGGAGCGAAATTTTGCCTATAAAATTTTGGCTCTGAACTTAAATGAGATAAGCGTATAAAGGAAGGGTTTGGGAATAAAAGAAATAGAAGAAAGGGTAAAAATATCTTTTCATGTTAATTTTAATAGAGTAGTGGCTATTTTTGCTCAACATTAGAATTGGTGGATAAAAAATAAACACCACCTTATTTAGTGGCTACCACACGCCATTTTTACTCAAAAGTTCCCTTTATTTACAAAACTGTTCGATAGCATTCAACGTAATTATATAGAAAAACAGTGGCAAATATATTTTAGCTAAAGCAGGCATGTCAACGAAGTGTTGTCTGCTTCAGCTGTTCTTCTTATATAGGAGAAAATAAATTTTAGCATATATAGGGATGAAATTGGGATTTTTTTAAAGTTTCATATTCGGTGTCACTACCGACTTTGATATTCAACTAATCCAAGATTCAGGGTAAAAAGTCTTATTTTGGGATAAAACGCTCTATATGAAAAGTGATTTTATTTGCGGGACTTGAACTCGAGATTTTTAGTTAAGAATCTTAGATTTTAAAAGTTGTGAGGAAACATAAATTGGAAAATTAGGAAGAAATAACTTACAATGATTAATTAAAGATATATGTTGCAAAAACTTTTTTTCCTGATTTGTTATTTGAGATTATTATGAAAAGCACGAGCTTGAGATGAAGTTAAGAAAGTATTTACTAAAGAAAACAAATACTCCCTCCGTTCACTTTTAGTTATCCACTTTTAACTTTTCACACATCTTAAGAAATAATAATTAAAGTATATAATTTACTATGATACTCATATTAATTGATGTATAGTCTTAATGGATTTGAAAAATAATTTGGAATGAGTAATTAATGCTAAAGGTAAAATAGAAAAAATAAATTATTTGTCTCTTGATATGCGAAAAGTGACAAGTAAAAATAAAAATTAATTTTTAGAATACTTGACAATTAAAAGCGAACGGAGGGAGTACAAATGTTTATTACCTTTTTGAGCAAATTAACTGATATTGGCAAGACTTGACAAGTAGACCAAACACCAATTTTACTTTAAAGGATGACTCAGCATTTAGCATGGCCCAATATAAAAGCCCAATATAAGGACTTAGCCCATTTTGATTGAACCTCAAAATCAATAAGGGACATTTGAATAAATAGTCGATTGAATTTACTGTTTATTTTTTTTAGCATATACAAAAATTATACATGATATATATATATATATNAATTCTTCATTAATAATAGTAATAGCCCATGCTAACTATTTTTCAGCCATGTAATTAAATAATAAATATTGTTATGGAGTTTTAAATTTTACGGGGGAAACTCTATGACACGAAGTTACGTGTATGAAATTTGAAACTCCATAATAGTAGCTATTTTCAATTACATGACAACGATTTGTGAATTTTACCCATATTAATAAATACCAATGTAATTTAACAATTATAGTAATAGATAATTACTTTATTTTATATACTACCATATAATTTTCGCGATGAATATTTATACATATGTTTGGATTAACTTAACGGTTAATGATCTATTTATTAATTTTTATTTTAATCCGTCCAAAATTTAGCCCTAACTCGCCCCCATTTGTCACCCTTAACTTAGTCTGATAGTGTAAAAATCTTTATCAACCGTCGGTGCAGAAATGTAAACTTTTTATTCTCCTTGATATAAAACCCTTGCATGTTCAATTTTAAGATGCAGCAAATGGTGAAAAGTGACAACACATCCTTGGAGTTTTCGTATATTTTCTTTCTCCTTTTGGAAGTGGACCACATTGCATTTGATTTGATTTCGATTGCTAAATGATTCTTTTTTACCTTATTGGTTTTTAGAAAGATCCTAAATATTTTATTATTTTCAGAGAAACGCTTTTCTGGAGCAAAAGTAGCAGTATCGAATTCTCTAGCCAACAAGGGTTGTGGCGGAGTGATAAGTACTCTAGTTCATGGGTATGGAATCGTCTTTGTTAGAAAGCGTTTAACCTTCAAATGTGAAATTTTCCGGCGTGAATCTGGATTTATTCGGACCTGAATGTGAATACCGGACACGGGGCGTGAAAAAAAAAAAGAATTCTCGTTATCTTTGATTGAGGTGGGCTCCTCCATAAACAAAGGAGAATTCTGGCTCTAAAAAGAGAGAAATACCTTTAAATCAGAGGACAAATATGGCCTACTATATAGACAAGTCAAACTTGCTAACCCATTTATTTCACTCCATGTGACGTAGTTTGAAACACGAGGATTAAACTGACTGCTATTCGATGTGAAATTTGGACATAAAATCTTCAAAAGAAAATTTGTAATAAAATTTATATATTTAGGAACTAACGATTAATAGTCACAATTCAAAACATTCAAAAAAGTATTAGTAAAAACATGGCCAAATAAAATCTCCTTCAACTCTCCAAATCGTATACGTAAAAAAAATAAATCACGGCATGTCAAGACAAGCCATTTGCAAAAATAGCCTTTTTGGAGGACTCTGTTTAAATTATGTCCCCCTTAGCCTTATGTGTCTAAATTTGTTTGTAAAAAGAGCTAATCTTAACTTCTTTTAAATTCAAAATTTAATCCACTAAATTAACTGAAGATGAAATTTAATGAGTCGCCTAAAAAGGCCATTCATGCGAATAATCATGTTAAATGTAAGCCCGGCAACTGGGCCGGGTTGGATCACGAAACCACTAACCCAGCCTACAAGAACAAGGCCCATAACTAGCCAAGAACGGTAACTTTCAGGGGCAAGTGCATAGATAGCTATTCTCAAGGATATTATTTAGAGATTAGCTAGTACTTATTTTATCCTGAAATTTTAAACTAAAAATCTGAACTTCAGGACAACTCAGGATATTTTTGTCCTGAAAAAACTAAAATTCAGGACGCACTGGCTAATTCCTAAATAGAAGCCCTTAAGAGTGGCTACCTGGTGTCATTTCTACTAACTTTCAATGCCTAAATAAATAAATAAATAAATAAATAAGAGGATATTGGTTTAGTTTTTTTGCCTAAGAATTTCTTATTATTCATTAGAATAGAGAATTAAAAAAAATTGTAGCTTAATTAAAAATGTAATTCTTAGCCCATATTTCAAATTGAGCCCCACATTTACACTCTCAGGAGGCGGGAAAAGTGACAACACATCCTTGGAATTTTCTTAAGCGTTATTTTCTTTGCTATTTATTTATTTCAAAGTCTCCTTTTGGAAGTGGAACCCATTGCTTTGATTGCTAAATGTCCTTTTTAGATCAGTTTTTGAGAGATTTCTTTACTGAAAATCTGTGAAATTTCAGACATGCATTTTTGGGACCAGCTTTATATTGTTGTGGAAGTGTTAGCATCAAGTTTCTCAATCTCTGAAGGGATGTAGGGACCCATTCTGTAAATTACACTGATGTTCGGATCAGCTTACGCGCATCTTAACTATTTTATCCGATACTTATTGTCTTCAGTTGAGAATTATTTTTCTTAAGCCGAAATTCTATCGGAAACATCATCTCTACCTCCACAAGGTAAGGATAAAGTTTGCGTACACATTAATCTTCTCAGATCATACACTATAGAAATACACTATGTATGTTATTATTATTATTGTTGTACTTGTTATCTCCAATCATCAAAGATATCAAAATAAATATATTCATCATATCTTTAACACGTGAAAAGAAATCACCTATTATTTTAACATTGAGTTTGAGAGAGACCCATTTGCGAAAAATATGAAAAAACTCATAAACTTTGGTTGTTGTGTCTTAACATACCAAGTCTTGAATCAATAGAAGTAGGATAGTGTTTTCCAATTTTAGTATTGCTAAATTACCGACTTAATAGAATTCATTCGTTCTTAATTAAAAATTTCAAGTTCCAACTCTGAAAATAAAGAATATAAAATAAACTCAATGAATTAATAAGAAAATAAATTAGTGAAAAAGTGGAAAATTGCTAAATTGATAAAATGCACTTTTTAAGTAGGACAAAGGTAGGTTTGGGAAATGAATATATGGAACATGTCAATTTCCTTACCAAAAAGGGCCAACACAATTAATAGCTTTCCCACTAGAATGATGTAGCTAATTACAAACACTAAATAAATACAAGCAACAACTCTGAGAAAATAACGAACACGTATAAATTTTCTTTGGACATATTAATAATTGCAAATCCTTCAATTGTCTCTTTCGCAAAGAATTAAAGTACCACTCAATCAATTGCATAGAAGACTAAATTGTAAGCCAACCAAGAAGAAATGTGGCTAATTGAGTTCATATTACACAATAAAAATTTGCAAAGTGCTTGCTTTTAATCAACAAAGATTTTTTTTTATTTCTTCAAATAGTAACCTTTATGTGTTAATATATTGAGATTTTGCGAACTATTTGACATAAATAAATAGGGTTTTAATTAGGCTAGAACAGCCCGGCCTTTGAAAGACTTTCACAAATACCACTAGAGTAGAAGCCTAGGTGGGACCACACCTATCGGACTAGTAAAAATCGAACCCACACGTATTATGCAGGGCGGAGCTAGAGTGTCCCGAACGGGTTCGACCATACTCATTAGCTTTGGTTCGAACCCTGTATTTGTCTTAAAAAATTCAATGAATATATCTAAATTATTAATTTAGAACCCAGTAACTCAAAACAATTAAATTTCGAACCCATAAACTAAAAATTCTGACTCCGCCTCTGCAATTATGTAAGAGATTCTCACCTAAAATTAGACAAAAAAAAAGGTTTGTGGAGGGGTTTACAAATTGTGCTTCCTTTTTTTTTTTTTTTCCTCTCTAAAGAGATAAAGTATTAGACTTTTGAATAGTGGCACACGTGTATACATCATAAAGGGAAGCTAACTATCTTTCACCTAAAAGTCCACAAAATGCACAAAGTTCCAACATCTCTAGCATGCTATACCTTTTATAGACATAAAAGGTCAAGTAAAATACACAATAAAAGTATATGTACATTTAAGTTTATTATATCACATCACGCCTTGCGGTGGATAGAATTACCCGATACTAGTATCGATAAGAAATAGGAGTAGCAAGTATTCCACGACCTATAAAGTAAAAGATATACAAATATTCGGTGGAATAGTCAAGGTGCAACGCAAACTCACCCGAACACTACTATTACGAAAGAAGTTTATTATGTTTGCATCAAATATATTTGCTCCTATCTTTTTACCATCAAAATCCCAACTCCATTTTCTTCAAGTGAAAAAAGGAATCCACTTCTGCTTGCTATTTCCATTGTCAACTCCTTCTCATCTTCCTTTAAAGTATAAAAGGTTGTCTTGCCCTCAACTTTTGATATGTGCCTCTTTTACTTATTTGTGCATGTACATTTGGCGCGCTTTTCTGCTAGTATCTGCAAACAATCCAAAAAAAAAGGAGATGTTATTGTACAGTGTCTTGAAATAGGATCTAAACGAATCCAGGATTTAAAGTCAATCAGCCGATTCTGCTTTTTATATATATGTCAATTTTCTCTCGCACAGATATAAGGTCCGTTGCGTCTAGTCTAGATCGGCCACTGAATCTGAAATCCCTTGGTGTTGCTCATTGTGATCCAAAGTTCTTTAGTATTATTTACCTTGACTTGTTTCTCCAGCTCTTTAATGTAATCTACTGCAAAATCCAACATATCTGCTGTATTTGTTTGCTGCAACAAAATAGAATAAACCAATATGAATACAGTAAATTTCTACTATATCAGAATTTGGCGAAATTCATAAGTTAAGATTATACCTTGTCCATGTTAGGAACAAGCTCTTGCAGCCTCCTCATTCTATCGCTTATTTTTGTTCTTCTCACCTAAATTTATGTCAAGAACCGTAAGGATTAAAGCTCTTTCGCTTTCTCTCTACCGCGTCTTTCCTCCCCTAATCTATTTATTAGATACATCAATTTGACCAAATCCAAAGATCACAGGATTTTAGTGTTAAAAATGTTTACCCTTTCTGCAATGCTACGAGGGTGAGTCGCGCAACCTCTCTTTGCTCTGACATTTAAGGGTGTTGAATCTTGCAAGAGCTTCTCCAATGTACTTGTGGGCAAACTCAAATGATGAGATAATGGAATTGGCGGACGAGATAGACCTTCACAATTCTGATAAAAAAAAATCACATAGGTGTAAGACGATGATTAGTTAATCTCGCATACAACAGCTTTCAACGAGATACTAATAACAAAAGATTACCTGATTATCAGATGCATTTACATTAGAGAACGGCTCAATCTCAATGTCTTCAGCTTTGAGGAAATCGTCGGACAAAATATGTGAATCTTCCCAAGAAGGGATAGGAAAATCAGTAATGGAACTCTCATCGTTCTTATGTTCATCGCCACTGCTGTTTTCTTCCACGACTTTATCTCCGATTTCAGAGATTGGAGTCATTAGCCCTGGAAAAGCAGGAGGTTTCCCCGATGAGATTCCCACTTGAGTCTTGAATCTCTTCGGAGTCGACAATGAAGTTTCTGCTGTAGCATTAGCACCAGTTCCGTAACTCCCTACGCCTCGCATAGCACCATATTCTGTCAATTGCTGGAATTTTAGCAGCAAACTTAACCTCTAATGTCAGATTAAACAGTTGTGATGACCACAAAGCTCTACTTAAATTCATAAGAAATTCAAAATCTACGATTGTTAGATCATATTAGTGACCCTCTTATCTTTATCTTAGAATATTTCACTAGAACTCACTTCTCAAGAAAATATTTCAGTACAACTCTATCTATAAATATGACTCCTCTTTCTAAGAGACGGGAATCTAAATAGAAAATATCCCCTGGGAAAGCCTCACGACCTGGTGGTCGGTGTAACAACAATGACCTACTATTCTTCGACCCGATATCTCTAGTGTCATAAAGGGAGTTTATAACAGGATATCAGTGTTGACAAGAATCCTATTTGTACCTTAAAGTTATCCAGTCGATACACAAAACTAAATGGAAAAAAGCATATTTGCGTCTACTCAAAAGGGATCCTTTAATTATCTGCAACACTTAAATCCTTTCTTCAAATACATGTATACACTATGAATCTTAATTAGTTAAAAGCACAAGCATTGGCCAACATGAAAAACATATACTATGAATATATAACCTTAAAATGGATGTACTAATTATCCTCATATCAGCACTAGAAATTCTATCAACACTATTTAACCAAGAGTAAGCATACCATTTTCAATATTGATCAAGTCAAAGAATCCAGCAGGCGAACTGTTATAACGAGTAAGATTCGTATTACCACCACCAGCACCAACTCCACCACCTATATTCACAGGTGAAACACGAGTCGAATTCACTGAAGTCGTGAATGTAAATGAATTACCTACAGCCGCCAATGAAGTGGCCGCCTTCGAATTGTCAATTTGTTGTTGAGCTAGGTTTTGGTAATTCATTTCTGGTTCTTGTTTCACAGATGAAATAAACTGGCTCTGGCTCTGTTGTTGAGCTTGAGTTTGATAATTCATCTGTGAAACTAAAGAGTAATCACTACTCCTATGTCGCGTCAATCGCTCGTGCTGCTGCTTAACCTCTTGTTTTGGAACAATAAATTCTGATCTCACATTCATATTACTCGCAGGATTTTCCTGAATTTGTTGATTACTACTAAAACTACCCGAATTCGAGCCCTGATTACCAATACTAGCTACAAATTTAGCGAAAACTTGCTCTATATCAGTACTATTCGAACCACGAGAATTTTGTAATTGAGAAAAATCATCTCTTGCATAACCACAACCCCCACTAGTAATATTAGTACCACCACCACTACTAGGAGTACTACTTAATAAGCTAGAAAAATAAGAACTTGGTGCAGATCTATACCTAGTTAAACCTGAATTTATTGGTTGCTGCTGAAATCTACTCTGATCCATTTTAATTCCTTTTTTTTTCTCCCTAACTCTCTTCCCTTAAAATATTAAAAAAAAAGACAACACTATACTATACTTAAGACCTTAATTTAGGAACAAAGATGGTTCATTTAGAGCTAATTTAAATAGCTAAAGAACTGTAGATAAAATTCAGAGAAACTTAAAAATTCAAGATTTTCACATAAATCCTACTAGTAAAGAAAGGAAAAAAACCCCATTAAGTATGAAGCTAGAATTCAAGATAATTCACATGTAGAAATACAGAAAAAGAAAAAATCAAAAGGGAATAACTTGAAGTAGTAAGAAAATTTGTGAAGGTATAGAATTTTGTGTAAGAGTTGTTTTAGAGTAAGCTAAGTTAAAGAAAAGAAAAAAGGGAAGTTTGGAAGAAATGGATAAGATTAAAAACAAAGATAGTAAGCTTTTAAAACAGAAGAGTACATAATCAAACAGAGTCTATAGGGAAAGAAAGAAAAAACACACAGACACACACTGAAGAAATGGAGAGACAGCGGCGGAGATGGTGGTGGTGAGGTGGTGGCAGTAGATAGGAGAATATTAGAGGTGGATGTAAACGGTGGGGGGTTGAGGGGTTTGGTTGGGGGGATTTGC